CTTGTCAAGTGTTATCTTGTTGTCTTGCATAACATCTCACATCTGGGAAGAAAAATGCTGAGGCAACTGGTGCGAGGCACACAGCAAAATGTATTTTTCAAGAAAAATGGACCATCATCAAGAATGCAAATGTAAAAATCTGTAAACATTTATTAAAACTAGACGTTATAGAATGTGAACGCCATTTGTAAAACTCATCCGTATAATCCATGGTTGTGGGTGCTTGCCAAGGCATTGCTAAAATTTTCATTTTTTTTTATCAAGATACTATGGGATATGATAATAAATCTGTATAAAATCATAGATCCGGAAATTTTTAAAGTTTTATGAATTCAACTGACTACTAAAATCTAATTTAACCATTAACACGGAATCATCCAGCAAAAAAAAAAAATTAAGCAGACAAAAAATAAAAATAACAGTGGTTATTTACTAATCAAATGTCACTACATTCACCCAAAATAAACCAGACATTAAGCTGTCTCTAAACTGTGAGAATTCAATGTACTTTCATTCTTCTGACATACTCTTCGAGACACAGAAAGAAAGCCTGATATCACCCAGGGGTGTAAGCACAATGTGTGTGTGTGGCCTGACAGCCTTTTCCAGCTCTTATCCCTCTGACATTTATGAGGCAGAAAAACAGTGATGATCACCTGATGTTGCGGTACCGATACCCACCCTGAATGATTCCATTATGGCCGAGCCAGGCTGCTAGTGAGATGTATGCTTTTCATTTACACATCCATTAGCCAGGAGCCGGACTGCAGCCGCAGATACGGAGCTGTGCTTTCTATAATTAGCACTTTAATTTAACGTGACTGCGCGCTCTGTGGTGTTTCTCTTTTCCATTTCCAAGAGAGTTGATGTATAGAAGAAAAAGTGAAAAGAAAAAAAAAAGGTTTAATGATTCAAGACCATCTGACACCTTTAAAAACCAATTCCACAAAGACACGCCGCTGGAATCAGACCCGCGATGTGAAATTGTGAGGGCAACCATGGGAGGTTTCTATGTTAGGGATGTCAATGTGAGAACTTTCAGTTTCCCAGTATATAAACTTGTGAAAACACCGGTGTTACTGATAACAACAAGGTCTGTTGTTTTTAAAAGTTTTTAAAAAATACTGTTAATTACTGTGGAAATGCATCATTACAGTCTCTAAAAACGATCCATCAGGCAGTTTGTTGAACAAAGCTGTGCTAATCCTATTAGAAGGGGAACAGACATTAAATTAGGATTTTTTTTTTTTTTTTTTTGCCTGGTGGATAATAAACTGGATGAAAAAAACCCATAGATTTACCTTGAAGAACTCATGTTAGAATATTATTTATTTAGGGATGGCTCTTTTAATTTACTGGGCCAAAAACTAAATAGCAAAAATCACTAAACAAACACGCTCACTTTTTAAACGAATAGCAATCCTCTGGCAACAACCCTACAACACTAATGTCAAACAGTATAAATGAATAATTGTATAAACAGTATAAAAAAATGATTCTGAAACCTTAAATACATCAGGTCCACTTTCTGAGTAAATTAAGGTGAAAGTACGGTCATCTTAATTAGGCCAGAACCTGCAACTGATAACCACAAGAGTCAAGAAAAACAGACGGAAAATCTTGCCCTACCTTTCTGGCATATGGCAAAAAATAACTCCTAATGAAAGCATTTCAAACAACCTGGAGCTGAAGTACTCGGAGATGTCAGAAAGAATATGGCTAACAAACTCTCAGCTTCACTCTGTGGAAATATCTCTGTGCTGAGGAAATGTGGCATGATATATTAGCTTCTGCTTTTGTGTGAACTAGCCTATAAGCGACTAAATAAAGACTCAGAATCAGATTTAGGACAAAACAGAGCAGATCAGACTGATGGAAGTCATATTAGACAGGAATAAGAAATCGGACAGACAAGTGTCCGCTTTGTTTACAATTAGAGCAAGTTTCTCAGACAGAATTAGATCCAATTTTCCAGCACAAAAACAGCTCTGTCAACTTCTCTTTGGTGTAGGACTCGGAATAGATCTGTGAATCTAGTCATGAGATTCTAATAAATGCCCATCTATTAGCAGTTTTTATGATGAGGAGAGGGAGAAAATGAAATTTCTGTCATATGTACTCACCCTCTAGTCATTCCATGAGAAGACTTTCGTTCATGCAAATTAAGATCTTTTTGATGATATCTGAGAGATTTCATGCATTGACAGCTACGCAAGAGATTGTAAAACTAATGATATGAATTGACCGGTTTAGTCAATTTTCTGAAGAGACTTGATTGCTTTATGTGATGAACAGATTGAATTTAGGCTTTTATAACCGAGGTCTGACAGGCTTGGGACGACATGAGGGTGAGTCATTAATAGAGCCAGACCGATATATAGGGTTGGGTATCGTTTGAATTTAAACGATTCTGATTCCGATTGCGATTCCTTGTTTCGATTCCGGTTCCTAACGATTCTCGATTCCGATTCTTTTAAGAGGCAGGGTCAAAAAAGTTTAGCTAACCTTGCTAACCAACGGCCTTTCTGAAGGAAATAATCCTTTCTGAAGGAAATACTCCTTCTGTAAAAATACTCCTTTTGTCACAAATTTAGCATTTTGCCGAGATTTCGTTATTTTTAGAAAAGTAAAGCCACACTTTGGACCGCCGACGTAAGGTACTCTTGTTCGACTCGCGTGGTTGTGCCAACACTTCCGGTAGACGCTTCTTCGTTGGTGTTGTTCAGCGGTTTCTTCTTCCGCTCGGCGGACTGTGAATATCGAAACTAGGAATCGAAATTTTAACTTTTGAACGATTCCGGGAAAAACGAAAAGTTAGTCTCGGTTCCAATCGATACTCGATTCTCGATACCCAACCCTACCGATATATCGGCAGACCGATATTATCGGCCGATATTAGGCATTTTCTAAACTATCGGTATCGGCAGTTATAATGGCAGATAAATTAATATTTCAAAAATAAAATAAAAACGGACGAAACATGCTTGAACCATGTCATGAGTGTTGGAGTTGTATAGTTTGTCCACCAGAGGGCACTCTACACCGTCCCTGTTGGCAACACTCGTTGAGTTGGTCACGAGACATACATTGCTTGAATAACAATTAAAAGAACATCCCCATCAGTTCTCTTAACTCAAATAAGCATGACAAAATTTGTGACTGTCCAGTTTAAAATAAATAAATAAAATATCGGCCGATATATCGGATTTGAAAACACAAAAATATTTGTATCGGTATCGGCCTTCAAAATCCTTTATCGGTCGGGCTCTAGTCATTAATGGCATAATTTTCATTTTTGGGTGAACTAACCCTTTAACAACCCGACTTTATTGTCGTAAAACAAACCAAGCTAAAAAAACACACACATGGCATTTGCCATATTCTTAAGCACCTGATCCACAAAGGATCAAATCCACCCAGAGCAGCACAAACCCAGCAGGCCCTTTCCCAGCCTTATGCCGGATCACAGATTTAACACTAGTAAAGTCTTAAGACCCTAGTAACAGCTGCCAGACCTCGACATTCCCACACCGCTGGACAGTGACGGATAGCGGGAGAGGCGCTCGCGTGATTGGTCCTTTCGCCTGAGGGGAATTACTGCATGATGCTCAAAATCACAAAGCAGACTACAGTCCCAACAATGACAGCAGAAAAGACATGCCTATTTCTATAAAGTTTAGACCAGAATCCTACATACACGTTGAGGGTGACACATAATCAATATATGTGTGGCTCTATAGATAAATAAAATGCCTAAATAGAGACTCCACACATCTTCAGCACACAACACCTATAATAAGAGCTGTTAGACTAATAAAACGGTTTGGTGATTTAGTGTTTCTCTTAGTCACGCCTGAACTGGCACTACATTGCACAGATGGTCAGCAGGGGAAAATATCTTTATTTTCCTTCTGAAAACGTGCTCATTTACACACAAACACAGAGAACATGATGTCAGCACCCTAAAAAACAATCAATGACCACCTCAACGCCTATTGACACACACATCTGTTCATCTGTCAACTGGGATACCAGACATGGAATACCAGATGCAGACCTAATCAATAATATTATCATACTTGTTCAAAATAATCAAACATTCACTGTTACATCTTATATTGAGAATATGAGAGTCTGAATGATCTGTTCAACGATATCAAATATGATCTGATCTTAAGTGTCAGACTAAAAATATCTCATACAGACATTCAGAATCTATGTTCAGGCTTGTTGCGAGGATCTGATATCTTGAGTCAAACTCTGAGAACAAATCAGATTCATTATTCTGAGTTTGTCAAGTGAAATCAGATCACAGAAGTGTGTATGTGATATTATAACAATCAGATTCTGAATGACATTCTGGATGATCTCACATCATATTATGACTGGCATTACATCCTCAGTGTGTGTCTTGGTTTCATAACATCATGTTATTATATGTTATAGCTAATAGATCAGATCACTGTCTGATATTATAAGTCACAATAAATATTATAATGACATGATGATTAGAGTGTGTCTGATATTGATAATTAGATTAGATTTTATAAATTGAGTGTCTCATATTCGAATTTATTCAATTTATTTATTAATAAATCAGATCAGAGTGTCTGATATTATTCAGATCAGATGCTATAAAATGACAATATTAGAGTGTGCCTGATATTGCTGTTCAGATTAGATGTTATTAATAAATCAGATCAGTGTGTGTCTGATATTATTGATCAGATCCAGTCTGTCGGATTTGTTCAACGCGTAATTTAAACGACCAACTTACACTGTCGCCTGCAGTACTTTAGACACATAGAAATCTAAAACGGACAAAATCCCACCAAAAAACAACATTATTCATTATTATTAGAGCATTACCATAGCTAAAATATTTCCCATTTGAGTGTCATTTGTGAAGAAAACACAGGAATATTTCACCCATCTGTTTGTTTGATGTTAGCCGCTGCTAACCGACCCGCTAACGAACGACAAACCGTATTTCACTTTACCTCAGAATAAATCCACCAGACAGTACGTCAGTCCTCATAGGCATCTAGTCTTCAGCGTGTACATGGTGTCGGTAACGGACAGAAACGGCCCGGTAAACGTCTCCTGAAAACCCTCCGTCTCTCGGTGCAGCAAAACGCGTACAGCAGCCGCGTCGTTAATGCGCATGCGCGAAAGCTGCCTGGGAGCTCGCGCAGTGTAACTGTTCATTGCATTCGCGTGCTGCCATCTAGCGTTCAGCGCGGAGAGAGGTTGATTTACAATTATTTCCGGTGGGTTTTTGGTAATACGTCGTCATAAAATGAATTTAGGATAATTAATTCACTGATAATCGTGTATATAGTATGTATTTTATGTATTATACATGGGCGGATGTAGAGTAAACACGTCGTTGCAGCCCCAGACCTGTAGGTGGCAGTGTGAGCACTGTTTGTTTGTATTGTCTCCTGCAGAAGAAAAGCTCTCATGTGTTTCTGCTTCTATTCAGAACTGAGCCATGGACAGAAAACACATGTCCGCATTATCTATTTATCAAACATTATCAAGAGGAGCAACATCTGAAGTGCAGGTAAAAAAAGGCTGAATTTGAGAAGTATTTTTTTTGTGTGTGTGTGGTTGAAAGCTTTTTACGGGGGAGCATAAACCTCATGCTAGTGTAAGTTGTTAAACCAGGGCCAGGCACATCAATATTGATTTCTAATATAATGAAAACACAATAAATATAGAATATATTGTCCAAAACCTCTCTGTTCCTTTGCTAACAAAAACGTATTTGAGTGTATATAAATTATTTTTGCAAGGGAGTGTAAAAGTAAAACTGTAAAAATAAAATAAATAAATAAAATAGTTTCTAATAAGTACATCGATTTAAAATGCATTAAGTTATTAAATAATAAATTTAACGGTAAAGTATAATATTGATTCGAAAAAAAGTAATAATGTAGAAGCATAGAAACTAAACATTTTCTAGAAACTATATTAATTTGTATTTTAAAAATGAATATTCATAATATTATTCACCCTATAAATGTGGTCTTTATACACAAAAATATATTGCTGCCTTTTAAATTTTAGGATTGGGGGCCCTTGCACCAGAATAATCACATTTAGGGGTCCAAATATAAGATTGAAAACCCTTGAATTAGAGCATGTTATTACCACCATTTTTTTTTTTTTCTGTAAGCGCTGTCAAATTGAATAGCATGACTTCTGTTTTTGCAGGCTAAGGCACCCGCAGCAAAGAAAATCAAAAAGAAGGAGAATGGCATCCAATTAAACAAGAAATCAAATAAAAAGAAAAGAATGAAACCTCTGAAGTCCCGCATGAGGCCCAGCAGCACTGACAAATCTAAAGACGTGAGTGTCTAACTGTGCAACCACACATACAGGAGCATCAGTGGAGATTTGAAGCTCACGATGTTCTGTTTTTCCAGGACTGTGAGGCAGATGACGCTGAAGGTCCGGCACTTGACGCACTCCTGACGGATCTGGCGAAGGTCAACAACAGCAGAGGTCGAGCCAACACACTGTTCCAGTGGCTAATTCACCCAGTCCAAGACAAAAGCTTCTTCAGGTTTGAGACCACACACACACACATTTATAGCTCAACTGAATTAGTTTGCAAAATTAAAACTGTTGTTGAACTGAACTGATTTTAGCTGATTAATGACACTATTGTCTTCTGTAAAGCTGAAATTGACGTTGTTTCATAATTGTTGAACTCTGCAACATCACGTCAATACTCTTGTTTTCTTGTTTATTACTGTGAAACAATCTGTATCGTATAAAGACGTAAAAGCACAAAATTCTAAACTCGATACTGTAATGAAAAAACTCATTCCCTGGACCATATGCCAATAATAAAAATCATCCTGCCCAGACTTAATAAATAAAAAAGCTTATTACAACAAATACCATTTTGATTAATTAAAATCATGAATTATTAAATCTTTTTGGTTTAAAACAGAGATATCGATTCTCCTGTGATTCTGAATAGACAGCTAGACAAGATAATGTATTAGTTGAGGTTCTGACAAAATGTTAATTGCTGCAGTCTATTAAAGGTACAATATGCAGGATTTTTATCCAAAAAACACTAGGCCAATGATATATATTTAGTTTAATTACTTACAATATCCCAAATGTTTCTAACTATTTGTAAATCGCGAGAAAATTGCGATTTTTAACGAAGGAAACGGGGCGTGTGAGCAGGGGTGAGGAGTCGCCAGTCAATGACGTCATATCCGCGTTACCCCCGGTTTCCGCCAGGTTTGACCTCGTACTGCAATAGTAACCATGGCGACAGACGTTGACAACTGGGTTATGCTTTTATACCCATAGATATCTATATAAAGGCTAGATATGTCGTCCACGCTGCTGGAATAATGGAGGTCGACGTCTGAACCTGGCGGCCATCTTGTCACAGGCAGCTCGTTCACTCGTAGCATTGTGTTAATGGTACATGTACTATTTAAATGACCATAACTTGCTCAATTTTCTACCGATTTTCAAACGGTTTGGTTTGTTATAAACGTCATAGATGTAGTTATGACACGGCATACTTATGAATAAAAAGTGTAGAAATAAATAATCATCTAGATAATTATAGCCACGTTAATAACGTTTGTAAGAAACCAAACCGTTTGTAAATCTGTCAAGATTTCAACGAGATAAGAGTATTTGTGTTCGTGCTGACCACTCATCTTACATCAGCTTGTCTGTGACAAGATGGCCGCCGGTGATGACGATGGAAACTCCGCCGTAACACATCTAGCCTTTATATACATATCTATGGTTATACCTAGCAGGACGCTCATGCTGTTGTTGTATTATTCAAACATTATGGACCATGGCAAGACATCAGTGTTTATACCCAAACTATAACTTTAATCCCAGTACTGATTCATTAATTTGGATTATTGTAACAGAAATATTGATAATGTAATGTTGAGGTTACTAGAAGTTGCTTTGGATCAGAGATGTCTTGTTTTGTCTACATTATAGAGATAATTGGGAGAAGAAACCAATGCTGATCCAACGGCAGAATCCAGATTATTACAAAGGACTGTTTTCTACCGCTGAGTTTGACCAGATCTTAAGAAACGTAAGCAACTTTTGCTCTTTGATTCGGAGGGAATCGGTATATCTAAAGCCGCCGTCAGATATAATGTTCAGTGTTTTGCGCAGGATGATGTGCAGTATGGAGTAAACCTGGATGTGACGAGCTACACAAATGGCAAAAGAGAGACACACAACCCTTCAGGAAGAGCGTTACCGTACACAGTGTGGGATTTCTACGAGGTAAAGAAGATCATATATATATATATATATATATTAGGGCTGGGTAATAAACATCGATTTCTCGATATTAATCGATTCTCATTTTTACGAACCGATATCGATTCTTAAGTCTCAAGAATCGATTAGTCATCCTGTTTCATTTGAATGAATGGGACATTGTATCGCGGCTGCGCGCATCCAAAAAATCACAATAATCTTTGTCCTTTGTTACTATTGATATGAAACAAAGTCTTAATTTTCAAATTACGTCCATTTTCTTTAGAAATTCAAAAACATGAATTTGGCGCTGTGGCGTGAGATCGCTCTGGCGCAGCTCAAGAGAAGCAGCAGCGCTGATCTCTCTTCCGGGTAAATAATACCAGTTACAGCGCCAAATAAACATGAATGAGCTTCTGAAAGTGTGTTAAAGATAGAGTACAACTTATCAAAATCTGTATCATGTCACATTGATTCACTCAATCAGCGTTTCAACCGTGGAAAGACGTCAGTTAATATTGTAATCAATTTCATCGTCATATTTACCTCAGAAAACCCACATCAACTCGTTAGTCAGCTAGAAAAAATAACTCTAGAGAGGAGCATTTTGCTAAATATATACACCATATTACATATGCATTATAATCTTAATGTTCTTCAATATGTAATGCATATTTGAATAAATCTGGCAAGTTTTTATGACAGCCACCATTTAAATGTTTATATTTCATATAATATTCTTATTATAAAAAGAAATAAAAGTGTAATTTAAGTGATTCATTCATTATTACCTTCATATTAGGCTAATGAACCCTAGTAGGCTACAACTAGACTCCCATAGTTTACAGCATTAGTTAAGAGATTTGATTCCCTTGAGAAAAATTGGCATTTATTGTAACTGATATCCAAAATAATCAATATTGAATCGAATCGTAATCGTAATCGAATCGAATTGCAAGCTTGTGAATCGAAATCGAATCGAATTGTGAAATTTGTCTCAATACCCAGCCCTAATATATATATATATATAGAACACCAATAGTAGGGGCAATATTATTTTAAAGATGTCCAAAATAAAGCCTCAGTTTTTATTTTAGCGTGAAACTGAAGTTTATTGATGGATGTTGTGTTTACAGAGCGGCTGCTCTCTCAGGATGCTCAATCCTCAAGCGTTTTCCTCCACTGTGTGGCAAGTGCTCTCCATTCTTCAGGAGAAGTTTGGTAGTATGGCAGGCGCAAACATGTATGTGATGATGCATTATAACATTTTTCATAAATAGTAGGTACTTCTCTGTCAGTTATCATTGACCTGTGATGTGTTTTTCAGGTATCTAACACCACCGGGGACACAGGGTTTTGCTCCTCATTACGATGATATAGAGGCTTTCGTTGTTCAGCTCGAGGGCAAAAAGCACTGGAGAGTGTACAACCCTCGGTGAGTGAGCAGTTATGCCCTTTTTCAAAGTCTTGATTTTGTTTTTAAAGCAACACTAAGATTTTTTTTTTACCTTAATGTTTCCAAAATCGTTTCAGTCTTTTATTAAGTCGTAACAGGGTGAAAGGCACTTCTGGATTTGCTTTGCGGTCCTGTAACCACGCTATGAAAGATTGCCAGATCGGGTCGTGTTTATGTAGTTCTAATGAGACACGAGAAAACTACAAATTTGACTTGTTACAATAGTCATTATTTCGTTTTTCTTCGTTTCTGATGTCGCAATACATCATACTTTCATGAAATCATGCAACATACTTGACCTTGTTTGTGGACTTCGTTCATCCCAAAGCCGGTGCTGATAAACAGTGTGCGTGTGACAATAGGATGCGCTAGGCTAAATTAATTACAACAGCGGTAATGGACAATTCCGCTAACAACCTGTAGGGCGACCGCAGTGGAAAAGTTACTTGGTGTTGCTTTAAGTCTACTAGAATAGGTTTTCATGCTTGATTGTTCAAGAAACACATTATTTTCCCCATATGCACGGCGTTATTTCCGGTGAAGGATTAAGGATGCTCGATAACTTCCGCCGATCATAGAGTCCAATGCAATACCGAGAATTTATATTGAATTTTATACTCCATGGTTATACTAAAGAAACGTTAGTCACAAAAACAGATGAAACAGACACCCCTCGTTGTGTTTATGCTTCTTTTTAAAATTATATTAAATAAACATAACTATATATAAAATCACATCTAAACGTATGTACGTTTCATTTCAAAGACGGGGGGACAGTAAATATTGAAGACTCTGCCATAATCCCGTTTTCTCCGGTTTTCCTCCGCTTTAATCTCCACAACCGGAAATGGACGAGCATCCTTACGTCAAATGCGGAACTTATGCGTGCATATAGCCCATTCTCCATTGTTGCGGCCTGACTCTTCCCAGTCTGTCAGTAACGCTCTTGTGTGCGTTTCCCATACAACGATGTAACTCGCTGATTAACTACTGTAGTACAATGCATTGTTGGAGAAACTAGCCAAATAGTCAGTGACGTAAGTTTGCAGTGCTGTTTGTGAATGTTAGTTGGAAATATGGTTTCAGGAAATGCCTAATCTTTGAACAATATAGTAAAAACCAGTGTTAGGAAAGTTCACTTTCTACATGAACTAGTTCATAGTTCACAATTTTGAACTAAGTTCACGGTTCCAAAAAATGAACTAGTTCATAGTTCCTTTTTTCCATATGTTGCTGCAAGCTATTATTATTATTTTTTTTTAATTATTGCCACAACCCATATACAAAAACTACAGCAATTATTTTTTACTGTAAGTGAAGGGATGCAGTATTAACTAGTCGCTCTTCTGTCTTCTCTCAGTTCTGAAGACGAAGTGTTGCCGCTGGTGTCCAGTCGTAAGTAACTGATAAAGGAATAAAATACATGATGAAATGAAATGCCTGATAAATACAAGTATTTGATAATTTCTAAAGGGAATAAACCCTCTGTCTGTTGCATTTCTCCTCAAGCTAATTTCAGTCAGGAGGCGATCGGGCAGCCTATCATGGACGTGGTGTTGGAAGCTGGGGATCTGCTGTATTTTCCCCGTGGCTTCATTCATCAGGGTGACTGTCTGCCCGACGTTCATTCGCTGCACATCACAGTCTCCTCCTACCAGAGGAACAGCTGGGGAGATCTGCTCCTGAAAGTACGAGCCTTTGCTTCTGCTTCTGTGCTTTAATGATAAATGAATTTCACAACGGTCAAGACATCTACTTAAAATCAAAAGAAAGGAAACTATTTTAGGGCCATTAAAGGGATTCTCTCATTATTTAATCACCCTCATCATGTGATGGTTTATAAAAGAATTTAAAATCTTAGTATTATTTTTATCCACTCCCAGGTCTTGACATTAACACGTAACAGTATAAGCAATCTCACACCGTATCTGACACTCAAAAACATCAAGAGTGCAAATAAGACCCCACACACACACACGCATAGATAAACTGGCAAGACTGCAACAGTAAATTTTTAGAATATGCAAAATAAAAACAATAAATGAAAAAAAAAATTAGCTCAAATGCACGCGCACTTATTTTGTTCGATTTTTTTTTTTTTTTTTTTTTTTTTTTTTTTTTTTTTAGTTTTTTTGTATTATTTATTTTAATTATCAAATACTGAGGAACAAAAATGTTTGCATTGTGTTCCCTTTATAACCAAATAACTTTTAAAATATCTAAATATATCTCTAAATTTAAAAAAAAAACAGAATAAGATAGAGAAATCATGTCTAAAACAACAATAGGAATCAAAAAGCGTTTCTGTGTATTTATATAGGAAGCTATTGACATTTCTCACATTTATATATTTTTTAAGCCACTGGATGGCGGTCTTCTCACTTGAATTTAGTTTTTTTTTTTTGTTTTTTTTTTTTTTGCCTGCACTCTATTTTGATGAGAAATGTTGCATTCATTGCATTTATTGATTATTGACTTTTTTATAATAATATATTTTTTAAGATTTATTCTAATGGAAAAAAATTGCTTTTAAAAATTATATAATTAATGCAAAGTATCATAAAAAAAAAAATAAAATAAAATAAAATATATATATATATATATATATATATATATATATATATATATATATTATTGAACAAGAATATATTTGATTGGTTTTCCTGTGGGAAAAAAAAAGTTACATTTTAAGGCTTCTTTCTTTTTTGACCGAAAAGTTAATATCAAGCCCTGCACACACCTATCATGGCTTCAGATGACATTGATTCATCCACTGAGGTCGTATGGATAACCATCATGATTGCTGTGTGTGTTTTTCAAACATCAACCATTTATTTGCATTATATGGACTCACAAAATCTTTGTTTGTGGCTTTATTTCTTTTGAGTTTTGGTGTGAAATAAATGTGCTCTAGATATTTTTATGTTAGACTCAGCCAGATTCACTCAAAGATATTGTGTTTGTCACTTCGGTGAATTTGATTTGCAGTTGATGCCAGCAGCTCTGGAGATCGCGATGGAAGATGATGTTGAGTTCAGGAAGGGGCTGCCGCTCGATTACCTTCAGTTCATGGGAGTTCAGAACTCAGAGAAGGTACTCGTATTCATACTCCATTAATATACAAGCTCTGATCTGTTCATTCCTGGTCTATACTGATACTGAAATGACTCGTGCATGTGAACAGGAAGACCCACGAAGAGACAAATTCATTGCACACGTTCAGGGGCTGATGAAGAAACTGATACGATCTGCGCCAGTTGATGCTGCTGTAGATCAGAAAGCCAAAGACTTTCTGCACGACTGCCTTCCACCTGTGCTGAACTCTGGTGAGTCTTAGTTTTCACGTCACGTCACACCCTGATGGGGCGAAACAAGGCTTACAGTGATCAATTACCAATTTCAATATACACCTTATTGATGATGCATACAATGTACATGCATGCAGATGAACACATAATATAAATGCAACTCGGTTTCTCATTTTACTCACCCCCATGTCATCCAAGATGTCCATGTCTTTCTTTCTTCAGTCGAAAAGAAATCAAGGTTTTTGATGAAAACCTTCCAGGATTTTCTCCATATAATGGACTTCAATGGGGTCCAAATGAGAGTTTCAGTGCAGCTTCAAAGGTCTTTAAACGACACCAGACGATGAATAAGGGTCTTATCTAGCGAAACGATTGGTCAAACGATTGTTGAATCAACCGAATGACTCGAAAAAAGATTCATTCATTTTGACGAACGAGTTCGAACGGGAAAATCACGAACGGTCATCACAGAACAGAGCAAGGCGAGCATTTGAGCTTATAAAACTTAAACTTTTTAATTTATTTTTGAAATGAGCGATCGTTTCGCTTGATAAGACCCTTATTCATCGTCTGGTGTCGTTTAAAGCCCTTTGAAGCTGCACTGAAACTCTCATTTGGACCTTGAACCGTTTGGACCCCATTGGAGTCCATTATATGGAGAAAAATCCTGGAATGTTTTCATCAAAAACCTTAATTTCTTTTCGACTGAAGAAAAAAAGACATGGACATCTTGGATGACATGGGGGTGAGTAAATTATCAGCTAAAGTTTTGAACTACTCCTTTAAGCATTTAGGGCTTTGCCTTCATATTCTGGATGCATCTGCTTGCATGTGCATAGCACGCATCATCAATAAGGTGTATGCGGAATTTGATCTTTTCATATCTCTGTTTAAATTTAAGGCACATTCATTGTTTTTCACGTTTTCACTATCCTGCTGTTTTGTTGCGCTGCATATGGATCACATGTGCCCAAATCTTGCATTTTTGTCCACATATTTTTGTTATTTTTCATTTGAGAGGTGATCTAAATGTTAGTGGTTTGAAATAGATGGAAAAAATAGTTTTGTGCTCCAGTCACGTGACCGAAAACTATCAGTAACATGAAAACTAAAGGTGAAATGTGTCATTTTATTTGCTTTAAAATATCCGATTTGAATGGTCAGACACACAGATGTCGGTCTCAACCTAATTGTGTGTTTCAAAAAATATATGTTTGCAAGAAAGAAATTAGAAATAAATCTGAGTAGTTGCAATAATATAAGCTCTGTGTTTGATACTGTATGTCAAACTGTCGGTTTAGTTGAATAAAATGCATTTGTGTGTGTTTTGTAGAGGAGAAGGCCGGCAGTGTGTACGGGGCTCCTGCTCGATGGGGAGACTGTGAGGCCCTTAATGTCACTGTTGAACTGAAGGGCCAAACCAAGATCAGACTGATCCGGGCCGGAGCTGCAAGGTACCTCAACCAGAACATTATTTTCCTGTAACACTTCTCAATCTACAGAGCAAAAGACATTAAGGTGCATAAAGTGAGTTTGCATTCTGAAATGAACGTGAACTTTGGGTGCCTCTAAATGATGTTCAGATAAAGATACACATTCATTTAGTTGTTTTGTTGTGATAAATGTCATGTTAGAATTAAGAAAAACAACTTGTGTTCATAGGTTGTGCAGTGATGGAGACACTGTGCGTCTTTATTACACCACTGAGAACTCTAGAGTCTATCATAAAGAAGAACCCAAGAGCATTGAGATGAAAGCAGAGGTAAACCTGCACTCTTGTCCCTAATGACTGTAACTTTGACCTTTATTAACCCTTTGACTGATCGTGTGTTTTAACAGCACATAGATGCCATGGAGTTCCTGATTCATTCATATCCCAAGTTTGTTTCTGTGGCCAGTTTACCATGCGACACAGCGGAGGCTAAGGTACCACATGGATTTGTTATACCACATAATGCATGTCCTGTTGAAATTGCATGCAAGTGTTTATGCACATGTTATGTTGTGTTTGAAATGAATCCCGTTTTGCAGATGTCTCTGGCCGAGCTGCTCTTTGAGAAGGGAATGATCCACACAGCCGAACGTTTGACAGCTGAATAAAAACATTAGTTGTTGGCCAAAGAAAATGAGGGTTCTACATCATATGCTTTTCATCTGTTAGAACAACAATTTTTTTAAACTAAAATGATCAAATGTGTATAAAACATTGATTGAAAGCAAATCAGTGTATTTTTGAGGTGTCTTTTCTTTGTACCAGCTCTGTGGTAAATGTGTGTGTATATACAATTGGCCAAAAGTGATGTCTGGAGGGGGTATTTGTTTTCAATGACCCTACAAGTTTGATTAAACTATCAAAATATAAGGGGGAAAAAAATGTTTTTAATATGAATGTACAACAAAACACTAAACTTGGTAAAGGTATTTATCTGACAAAATTATTTGGCTTAATACAGCTTGGCCTGTCCACACAATTTGTCATATTTTATTTGTGATAACGCAATAAAACAAATGACTCCAAGCACAAGTATGCAATTTGCTTACAAAATCTTGAACAGATTTTTAATATTTTAATAAATGGTGAAGATCTCAAATCTCCTAGGCTGGACATCACTTTTGGCCACTACTTTTTAATGTATTATTTACATAATAGATGAAGTTAAATGAACAGTTTATTCAGTGTTTATTAGCCATTGTCAAATCCATCCATAACCTTTGGGAAAACAAACATTTCTGTAAAATAGCTAAAACAGCTTAAAAACAGTTTAGTATTGGTGTCTTCTGACAAATTATGCTATTGCATTCAAAGACAACATAAAAGTCATTTCAGATGATATTGGGCCATATTATAATAATAGGCCCAGTAAAGCATATATATATATATTTTTTTTTTTTTTCCTAGGGCTGTGCAAAGATTAATTGAAATTTTTTGACTACATAATATATTTGTGTGTGCTCGGTATAATTATTTTGTATATATAAATACACACATGCATGTATATATTTTAGAAAATGTGTTATTCATATACAAAATATTTATATTATTATATATTATAGATTATGTATTTACATATATACAATATTTACTTGCAAATAATTCTTTAAATATATTCATGCATGCAAATGCATATACGTATACACAGCACACACACATATTATGTAAACACAAACTTTTATTTTGGATGCGATTAATCACAATTAATCTTTGCACGGCCCTAATATTCTATATTTTTAATGACACCAAATCCGAGATGTGGAGCAAGAGTTTGGACTAATTAAATATCAATGTGGTCGGAGTCACCCGGCGCAATTATGTGACATAGTCAATAAAAACTACAAGGCATTACAGAACTAAATGCAACATTTATTGCACCAACTTGCTTGCAATCAGAGACACGGTGGCTGAACACACAATATACACATTCTGGACAGAGGGTCCAATAAATATCCCTGCAGGAGTCACTTCCAGGTGTACTCCTCGCCCGGCTTCAGTTCCCTGAAACCACAGTTACAGATTCAGGAATCATTCATTTGCAAAGAGACACACTCATTTTAAACATCTTTATAAGATATCATATGACCTGCTGTATAAAGCACTCTTGTTCCTGAATGCTGTGAGTTTCTGATCATTTCGTCGGTCCAGATAAACCCCGATGACAAAACCCAGGGGGACCAGAATATTGACCCAGTGCTCACGAATCGCTGCTGCGAAGTTCACCATGATGCCTGCGATTAAAGACAATACACAAATTAATGATAAAGTTCAATGATTTCACTTCATCTCTAATGTACACTAGTTTGCACACACTTGACAAAATGTATGTTTCTCATCATCTGGAAAACCTAAAAATCTAAAGGCATCTGCTGTGGTTATATTAAACTTAAATAAATAATAAAAATAAATACGTATATGTGTCTTTTGACTGGTATTGTAATCCATAATGTGGACTTCATTACATGTATTTAATTCAATCTTATGTAAAGTGTGTGTGTGTGTGTGTGTGTGTGTATATATATATATATATATATATATATATATATATAAACACACACATAGACATTATACATATACACATAGACATACATGCATATACTGAGGTGTATGATAATGATGTCCATCATGTAGAGGGAACGACACTCACAAAAACAGTAATTCTGCAGCATTTATTGATCTGTCTGTATGCAAAACTCGGTCTCACCTCATTAATATCTCCTGATTCAAATTAAACTATGCGAAATAGAAATGTCGAAATATAAATCATCTTCACATTATCAATGTTTGTGTTGATGTGAAGGTGACCGTACTGGGCCGCGTCTGCTAATGTCCTCACAGAAATACGAGATTTGAATGTCATTACTTCTGCAGAAAACTCGTACAAACGTTTACATAACTTTAATATTCACAACCAAATATAAAAACACATTTATTAATGAAATATATACGAATTTAAAGTCGTTTACCTTCCGTTAGTTTCCTAGCACAGCAGCATTAGCAGAAAGGGTTAGAGGGCTTTGGACTGTACCAACTAACATCATGACAGTTTCAAGGGAGGTGCTATAATTTTCCTTTCCTCTAACTGTGAAACTTTTCTTTGTTAAACTGCACATTAAAAGCGTGATTTTTATATATTATGGAAGTTGTTTTTTTGTTTTTTTACAAAAAAATAAAAAATAAAAAGGTAATTGCGACTTTTATCTCACAATTCGAACTTTTTTCTAGCAATTGCGAGTTTACATCTTCGAATCGTGCTAGTTAAAAGTCAGAATTGCGAGTTACAAACGGTTACAAAGGCAGAATTGCGACGCATAAACTCGCAATTGCTAGAAAAAAATAGAATTGCGAGTTATAAAGTCAGTTGAGAGAAAAAAATTCTGACCTGTGAGTTATAGTTTTTTAGTTTTCTTATCAAAAATTACATTGTATAGATATATTTAACCCAAATGTGCTATGTGTGTATATCCTAAAAAATCCGTTTACGATTAAATACTACCGGACTTTTGTTAGTTATTTGCAAGCGCCCCTCGAGTGGTGTCAGTGGTAGAGTCCAGTGACGTCACAGCAGCGGCGGTAATGGCTGCTGGTCACATCTCATGCTGCCGAACTGATACATTATTATGAATTTAATATGATATTTCAGCAATTTTCAATAGTTATTAGTGACCGAACCTACTGAAATCAAAAGTAGTATTACGAGATACGGGTATGCAAGTGTTTATGTACATAAATTAAGTCAATTTTTAGGAGAATTAAGCTCTTCATTTGTTTGGCTGCTAACGTTATGTGTTTTCAGTTAACGTTAGTTCAGATTAAGTTTAAATGTCAGATTTATCCTAATCTTCGTCTTGAAGTGTGTGAATTGTGATGAATTATCATATTCCTTCATTCTTTGCCTCTTCTTTTTGAACTTACAGTTTTGTTCATACATACTGCTCTGTTATTATACCAGCATATTTATTAGCAATTATAACACAATACTCATTTAATATTGTGTTATAACAGTCTTTATGAATCAGACATGTTTTAATGTTTACGAAGCCTACTGTGGTGGTACCACGGAACAGTGCTGGTATCAGATACTAAAACAGTGGTAATTTGGATAAATTAAATACCATTTTTAGGGTTATTATGTGTTCTTATCATGCCATAGTGTTCTAATGTACTGAAATTAAAACCATTGTATTACTGTGGTACATGTACCATAACAATACAGTGGTTTTACGAATGGTCGTGGTATAAAACCAAATGACAAACTTATTTATATACCACGGTATTCCAATCTGCTTCAAAGAATACCTTGGTCATGTTATTTTTTAGTAAAAAGGAACTTCATTTTGGTTTAATTTAAGTGTGATAGTTTTGTAGTGATTATTTACTGATGATATCTTTTGTCCATCCATCGGTCAGGCGGCAGAATGACGTCCATCATCAAACTGACGGCTCTATCTGGAGTCCAGGAGGAATCGGCCCTGTGTTACCTGTTACAGGTGGACGAGTTTCGCTTCTTACTGGACTGTGGCTGGGATGAAAGTTTCTCCATGGACATCATAGATTCCCTGAAGCGGTACGATATGTATTGTAGTGTTGGATTTAGAAGCTCAACTGTACTTGGTTGGCTTGATTGCTTCTATTGCTCTCCTTATGTAAGTTGCGTTGTGTAAAAGCCCCTGCTAAATGATTAAATGTAAATTAACTACATATTTTAAAGTCCCCCTGTGGTGAAAATCACGTTATTAATGTTTTTTATATGTCTAAGTGGTGTTTTTAATATGCTTTTAAGACAAACCATGTGTAAATTCATAAGTCGACAGCATTATTGACTATCCTATCCTGTATGTGATTGTGTATTTTCCGCCCTGTCTCTGTCAGGTATGTCCATCAGGTGGACGCAGTGCTGCTCTCTCACCCTGATCCTCTGCATCTGGGAGCTTTACCGTACGCTGTGGGCAAACTGGGGCTCAACTGCACCATCTACGCCACCATCCCCGTTTACAAGATGGGACAGATGTTCATGTACGATCTCTATCAGGTGAGATGGGCGGCTTTCAAATGAAGCGCTGCTTGTGATTTGTCGTATGAATCTGAAATACTACTTTTTAATTGTCAAATTAATAGTTTACAAAGAAAAAGTTGGCAACATTTATGTTATGAAAGTCACATAAAACTCTCATAAAATAAATGAACCCATTCACATATACATGAATAACTAACACAAACATTACATTTTTATAGTCATAATAAATATTACAGTTTTGTTTTAAAAATCATCATTTTATGAATAAATAATAATTTAATTTTTTGAGTATGAAGCTTAAAATTATTTTATGTTTGTGTTGGGTTTATTTCGAATATGTTTAATTGAATAATTGTTTAAAGAGACCGACATTTCACAATTCACATTCCACCCTAAAATTAATTTTCGGACTAATCATTTTTTTTATTTTTTCGACAATTAAGCACATTTCACCCCAAAACTAAGTATTACTGTAATGCATCCAGATGTTTAATTTTTGAGGGTTTTTGCTTTAATACCACCATTTTTTTTATTATTATTATTTTGCAAAATATGCTAAAATATGCTTAATTATCATGCAAATAAAGTCCCAATGCAGTATGGGTTTTGTGAGTTTCACCCTTATTGTTGTAGATTAATTGTTGCCCACTGTAAATGATTTAAATGGGACAGATGGGAGCAAACTTTCTCAGTGGTAGTATGCAGTAATTTTTTGTTAAAAATGATTTTTCTTTGAAAGAGATCTATGAATTGTTAGTTGAATCCCCATAAAAAAGGTTTTGTTGTGTACAACACATTTAGTTTGTCTGCGCAAATTAAATATCATCAGAACGAGACGGAGAAACATTCTGATGACGAAACGTTAATTATGCTCCCTGTTTGATCTCAGTCTCGACACAACACTGAAGATTTCTCTCTGTACACACTGGATGATGTCGATTCAGCTTTTGACAAAATCCAGCAGCTGAAATACTCTCAGATAGTCAACCTGAAAGGTGAGAGAGGATGTACCTTCTTTTTTTTTTCAAGTGCAAAAACAGAAAACCAAACCAGAAATGATGAAGCTTTAATCCTCAATAACGGTGATAATGTGTCCTTTTTTTGGTATCTTGAAAGTTGATCACAATTTATTAATGAACAGGAAAAGGTCACGGCTTGTCCATCACCCCACTTCCTGCGGGTCACATGATTGGTGGCACTATCTGGAAAATAGTGAAAGACGGAGAAGAGGAGATCAT